TTATCTGATATATGAACACCATCAAACTATAGCCTATACTGTTGACTTGTCAAATGATGTGATCGGCCAGGTGGCTGTATAGCAGGGTCATATGTAGACTAGCTTAGTCTCTGAATATTTAAATTGAAAAGGAGCCCTGCTGGGAAATTCAGAACCTGAGGGAATCTAGACTTGCTTCATTTAGAGCTTCACCATTGCAGGGAGGGCTATGCAGTAGGGAAAATATGTGCTTCCGGGACTGTGAGACAGACTATAGGTCATATGTCGCTTATAATACAGCAGTGCTCATTAATTATGGCGGCACGGAAATTCTCCCATAAATGACTTCACATCTCCATATATGATTCTGGTGTGATGATCGCCCAGTTGTGTATATATGCACGCGCGCACACACACGCTGACACACAGACATACACACACGCTGACACACACACACACACACACACACACACACTGAGGTAAAGGAAACACAATTCTCTATCATCCCGATGGAAACCTGTACATTACATTAACAACGGCTGAAATACAAAATGGCTATAGTCGTGAAATAGTTTAGAGGCATTTGGGAACTGTTCGTATAGTCAGTTTGGCTCAAAATCGGACCGATGAATTGCAGTCTATCTCGAAAACTACTAAACATATTATACTCAATGAAACACTGATCATAATCAAAACATCAGACCAACTCTGTGATTCTTTCTCAGAATTTATGTCCTAAAAAAAAATATGTTGTTTAACAAACTATTATTAACAGTTATTATAATTTTGACACGTCACTATTTGTTACGAGGGGGGACAGCAAAGAGTGAAACAGCCAGGTGTGCGCGGAGCACGTGCTGACAAAGTTATTGAATCATTTACCTGTGCTGTCTCCATCCTTTCTCGCACACCTGGCTGTTCCTCCCTTTGCACCCCTCCCTCGTAACAAATAGTGACAAGTGTCAAAATTTTAATGATAGTTTCTTAAACAACTTTTTTTATTTTTAGGACACAAATTCTGCACAAAAAAAATCACAGAGTTGGTCTGATGTTTTGATTATGATCAGTGTTTCATCTAGTATATTATGTTTAATATATATTTCGAGTTAGGTTGCCATTCATCGGTCCGATTTTGAGCCAAACGGACTATAATAGAGTTTCTAAGATAAAATATACAGTAAAATGATTGCCTGAAATGTGTACATTTGTGCTTTTCCATATCTGTTGGGAACAGATGTCTCCTAACCAAGTTATTCGTTGAGAATAATACTACTCTGTGGGCAAGTGTCTCATCATCCAACAATCGCTAGCCTTGCTACAAGCTGTACTGAATATTAAGCCCATTGATGTATAGTAGTTCTATCCAATGAAGAGGGAATTATCGATAAGGGGACAGTTCCAAGGACGCCAGTTTGTTAGGGGGATATTTATATTTTTTAGAAATTATCATTTAAACTATTAATTGTGCAAATCACCAGTACAACAAATGTGAGACGGTGGCCTCCAGATAATCAAATCTAGTACAGCCAATCCTGTGATGGATATAATGAGCATCGATCAACGCAGTTGGAAATACGCGGTGACTTGCAATCAACCAAGTGATCCAGTCATTTAGTATAGCCCCTTACTACAAACAAAAGTAGTTACTGACATATATATTCTTAACTGCAAATCACTACGGGCGCACTTAATATTAATGTTTAATACAGTGACGCCTCTCTGAGAATATTGTGGGTTCTTATGAGAGAAAAGCCAATTTTCAATCTTTTCGTTTTTGTTCCAGCAAAATCACATTACAAGCTTGCCAACCAAGCATGGTTGTATTCAGAGACAATGGTAACAATGACTGTCAAATGAGTAGTGTATAAGCAATATTTCTCAGGTACAGAGAAACAATCAATGACAGTATTCTCATAAAATTAGGCATTAACACAGTTGGCCTTACTAGTAGGCTTAAATTAAGATTGCATAACAAATCGCTGTCAAAGTATATGAATAATGTTACAAAGTTATGGCAAAAATGTTCAAAGCGAAGGACACAGAAATCATGAAATGTAAGGGAGATAATAAGAAAAATAAATAAATGGTTAGTGCCTATACACCCAGGGCATATACTGTAGACACAAAGCATAATATAGATATAATCAAACCGAGATATGTATAGTGTTTTTGAGAAACATGAAGTCAAGAGACTTGTTCATAAAGATCTGACAGAGGAAGCCATTTTTATTCAAACGCAGCCCCTCTATTATTCTTGCCGGCAATGATTTTTTAAAAGAATATATCTGTTTGAAGATTGAAAAGAGACTTCAAGTATATAATTCCACACTCAACCAGAATTCTTTGACATGCTCACATTCTAGAAAAACATGCGATAAGCTTTCACTATCAGTTTTACAGAAAGAGCAAATATATCATTCACTAGTTTCATATGTTTTAGTTGCGACTTGGTTTAGACTATACGATGTAAGAATATAAATTGGAGTTCTAATAGTCTTACATCCTCTGTGCAATACCTATAATGAAGAAATATATCTTTCCAGGGTGGAAATACCACTTTAAAGTTTTCAACCCATTTGTTACACACATGTGGAAATTCGTCACAAGCAATACTGTTATCATAGAAATATCTAGACCCCTTACCAGGTTTGAGAATGTCAAGTAACTTATCACTATCCACCAAATTTGAATTATTGATACATATTTGTTCATTATTACAGTGTTTCCAACTAGAAGGAATGCAACATAGTAACTTAAGATAATCTAAAAACGTTCCGCCAATATCATAAATATTCATCAGTTAAGCAATAATCATAAAACCATTTTTGATACATATATCTTTTACAAAATAAATTCCTTTACTGTGCCAATGTTTAATCAAAAAATATTTATGTTTAAAATGATGATTGTGCCATAGTGATTGTGACAAAATGTCATTAATATTAAGGGAAATTTCTTGTTCTTTTCTTACCTAGTTTGTCAACGCCTTCAAGACACTTTGACAATAAGGGTTCTGACAGTGAATATACGTATCAACATTGGCAACCAGTGTGAATAATTCATCTATAGGAAAGTAACTTGGGTTCTTGAAATGAGGACTTTGAATGCATCTTCTTAAATGTGATAACTTCTGGGCTTGAATAAATGCATTAATATCTTTCCAATCTTATTATTGCACTGTATTGCACATATTACATGTACATGATTTTGGTTTAGTTGTTGTTAACGCCGCACTCAGCAATATTACAGCTATAAGGCGGCGGTCTGTAAACAATCTCGTCTGGACCAGACAATCCGGTGGTCAACATCATGTGTAGTCTGTCGTACAGACCCTGAAGTAAATATATCCAAGAAAGCCCACACAAGTCTAGAAAATGTGGCAAGTCTAGATTTCCTCAGCTTCTGAAAATGAAGAAAGTCTCAGGGCTCCTTTTCATTATATTATATTTTTTTTTACTATGAACTTTTTTCAGTAAAATATGTTCATTTCAGAGACTAGTTGTTAGTCTACATCATGTGCATCGATCCACGTATTTGAACATGCCAATGGTTCGTTTTCACGTTCAATACCTTTCATTGACCCTTTCTTTTTATGTCGGACTTTTTTGCGTTTTAGTTTCCATGGCTTATTTTTTATATTTTACGGGGTTTTCTTAACATGAGAAATGGTGTCTTCAGAGAACGTATATGTCAAAACACAATTCTTCCTGGAATCAAGCGTTTCCACCCTCACCCTACCCACCAACCCTTCTGGACCCGCCTATATATGGGCTAGGATTCGAAAATCGGTTTCTAACTTGGTATGGTACCCCATGTCGTCACAATCAAATGACATCACTTACCTCTATATGCCACTGAAACACACTTCGATGCCTGAAACCATTGGGGAGAGTCTACCCGTGAAGGTCTGGGTTAGAATGGACCTTCAGTAACCCATGCTTGTCGTGAGAGGCGACTAACGGGATCGTGTGGTCGTGTGGACTTGGTTGACAAATGTCATTGTATCCCAATTGCGCAGATCGTTGCTCATGCTGTTGATCACTGGATTGTCTGGTTGGTCCAGACTCGATTATTTACAGACCGCCGCCATATAGCTGGAATATTGCTGAGTGCGGCGTAAAACTAAACTCACTCACTCACTGGGGGAGAGTGAGGTTATTTCCATAATCAAAACATCGGTTATTAATTCTATTTAGATTTAGAATCGACTCGTTTTAATCATTGTATTTCAACCCGCAATCACTTATTTAGGGCTACCTTGTTATGTACAGCGTGTGTATAAATGTTGGTTTTGTCGAATAAATCGACATAAAAAAATATCCATGGGCCCTCAAATGGAGGACAGGGTTTTTTTTGTATTTTTTTCTTCTTGTGTTTTTTTTTTGTTTTCCTGTTGTTATTTTTTTTAAATTTCTTTGTCGGGGGTGGGGAGGAATACACGTATGTCTTGACATGTTTATATAAATAACCAACGGTGGGCCCCGCAGTTTTAATTGCTTCTCTATATATGATATTTCATTTAATTTCTCCTGCTGACATAAACATCGGCAAGTTCAATAGTTAATTGAAATATCTCCAAAATTGTATTTAAAAAATATATATAACAGTTAGTCAAAACAATACAAATAAATGCTTTATTATGGAGTGTGTTTGTTGCAATATATACTTCTAAATTACAAGACATTTTAAATTCTATTTTGACAGCTGTTACAATTTTGAAAAGGATATGCTATTTGTAGGTGCAGAACTTTGTGTGTTCTTACTTCACTGAGTGAAATATTTCTACACTAGCTCAAAATAAGTTCGTATTGAAAATTCCTTGGACCTTTGTTAAACTGTACGTTCTACATTCAAGTGATATTACCTATACAGGTCTCCATTACAAGAATATATGACTCATGTCATATATGGTCGTTTCCTAAAAATATCACGCGACATAGATCGGCGCGCGCAATATTATCCATACAGCAGGATCGACTCACCAAACTTTTATCACCAAAGCAGTGCCCTACCCATACATGTTCACCGCAGCGTGGAAATCATTAAGCTTGTCCTGGGCCCTGCCTTATCAACCCAGAGCCACAAATAAGGATATTGTCCATGTCGCGCCTGTCGCACTGTAACAGTCCACGTACCGCCTCCACCTGAACTACTTTTGTCGACCTACTTTTCACAAGACCTCGTGTTCGCACAGCCTCAGCTAACGTGTGTTTCGGCGTAGATGTGTTCAGCCAAAGTGTGCAGCAAGGAAATTCTGTCTCACGGTACGAAAAGTGCGGGTCGATCGATTGCTTCTTTGTAAGTAGAAAGGAAGACGGTATCGCTACACATCCACCACTCTCGCTGACGACAGTCTCAAGTTTGTCAAGCAGGCCAATCCACGTAAAACAAGATGGCGGACGCAGCGGACGAGACTTTTGAACAAGCGGGGAGCGGAGCATCGGCATCTTATCCTAAACAGTGTTCTGCCCTGAGGAAGAACGAATACGTTCTCATTAAAAATCGTCCCTGCAAGATAGTGGACTTGTCTACATCAAAGACCGGGAAACATGGCCACGCTAAGGTGCATATAGTAGGTACTGACTTGTTTACTAGTAAAAAATTTGAAGATGTCTGCCCGTCCACACACAACATGAATGTCCCGCACGTGAGCAGAATAGAATATCAGGTGATTGATATGGATAGTGATGGGTACTTGACTCTTATGGACGACAAGAATGGCACACGCGACGACATGAAGATCAGTGACAAAGATGTCGATATGAGGAAAGAGTTTGAAACTAGAATGAAGGATGAAATTCCTACTATAGCTGTTGTACTCAAGGCAATGGACGAAGAGGTTGTTATCGGTGTCAAATCAGGAAAGGAATAAGAATATTATTGCCAAGATGGACATGAACAATTCAGATCCTTTTACACGAGTTAAACGTGACACTGTCTAAAACGTAAACCGGAAGTCGGCCCTTTGGGTTACCACGTGGTCGACCGGGTGTCGGGTGATTTTTATGTGAAGCTGATTCTTTCGTCGACAATTTGTTTTGTGTTTAAGCATGTGGACTGCAATTTTGGACTGGATACAATCATTCAACTTTCGATTGATATTTATTTGTAAAGGTTTTGTGTTAAGGATGAAGATATCATGACGTTGATAAGAAAATCAATCAGAAGAATCCATTGTTCGGCGAATTTGTGACTGGTAGGCGTGTTGAACATCCGAGGACGATATCAACCAGGACTGTGAACTTTTGCTAAGTTAATAAACGTTCATGTCGTATGATCATTGTATTTAAAGAATCATGATCTTATCAACAGTTATAAAATGAGTAACAGTAACTTATTTATCCTATTGTCATAACTGAAGGTCTCTGCGTTTAAATAATGTCCTGTACTTTTTGAAATGAGCCACATGACTCAATAAATCAATGATTTGGTAAGATACTGATATCAGTTTTGTGTATCTTGAAGACGGGTTATTGGTAAAATGCCAAGTCCCGTTATTTTTATTATTAAATTGGGTGCGAATGGGTCTTGGTGTCTTATACGTGGTATATATGTCTGGCATGGTATATTTGGTGGGACAAAGTATGGGAACAGAGACTACAATCGGGCCCTACAATCATTTCCATGTCACCATTGTGCACAAGGTTACACGTATTTAATCTTCCTGTCCACAAGGATTGGTGTTGGACACTGTGCCCTAAGTACACACAACAAATATACACAGTTGTTGCTCCATGGACAGCAATATGTTTTGTACACTGGACACAATATGACTTGATTTCTTTTATTCTGATGGACAGGCAAAATCACACCCGAGGAGCACATTTGACAAGTATGTATTTGATGACAGGTGCTTACTGACTGATTTGTCTGCTGTTTCATAAGACAAATTATGGCTGTCAGGGTTAGGGGAGATCTGTTGATTGATCATATGCTCCACTCACACCTGTTTATTGAGCGTTTCAGCATGTTCAGGTTTGAACAACAGAATATGGCTGTTCTACGTTCCTTTCCTTGGGTATATTCTTCAGGGAGTTGAGGGGTGGTGGGGTAGCCTCATGATTAACGTGTTTGCTCCTCCAAGTTCGATTCTGCACATGAATACAGCATGAAGCCCGTTTCTGATGTCCCTGCCACAATATAGTTGCTCGACTATTGTTTCGGGAGTTAAATATACAGTTTATTTATTACTAATGACCGCATTACACATGTGGTCACAAGACAACCCTTACAGTAAGTTACAGTTGACTAAATACTGTATGAGCACACATCTAAAGCAAGTACTTTTCAATTTTCATGTTCCTGGAAGTTTGGATCACCACATTCATGTATTGACTCCACATCGGCACTTATCACAGGTGTTCAAATCCATGAATGACCTGTGGTTAAACAGCTGTTTCAAAGGCCCTGGTATTTCCTCCCATGTTCATCACATGACATATGACAGTTTGTTTCCCTTCCAGTGTGTAAAAGAGTTTTTGGCCTTAAGGTTCATGTTAGATGAACACACAAATAGTAATTTTTTCATATTTAATTATTTATGTAATTTTCAGTGCAGTGGTAAACTGATTTTTTATAAGTTGGACTTCAGAGTACAGTTGTTTCTGGGGGAAAATAGGAAGGCTGTTATATTTCTTTATAAAACTTGTTATACAGTTGAGTCGAGTGATGCACTAGTGCCTTTTGTTGATTTGGGAATTTAAAAAATTCTGAAAATCATTATTTTCATGACTAATTTGAAGATATCCAGTGATAATAGCCAAAGGTGATATATGCTTTGCCAAGGTCAAGGGGGATTGTTTTCTCTTGCTGACTTGTTTTTGTGCATGTTTCCACAGCAAAACCCGTAAACTGTTGAAAACGTCTTGTTTTTTTCTTGTTTTATGGGATCACCTGTTCATCATGTACACAGTTGTGATGAATTACCAATTGGCAGAAGCAGCCATTTTCAGTTGACTTAGTCATTAATATTTTCATAAAGATGTTGACTCTTGATCAGTATGTTATTTTTTTTACATAATTGTGTCAGCCAATTAATAGATACTGGATTATTGTGTGTGTCAGCTCGATTGTGAATGGGGTCAGCCAAATTTTGTGAGTTCAAAGTGTATGACTGACATTGGCGGATCCAGAGGGGGGGGGTGTGGAAATAAATTAAGACCACATTGAAATTTTATTTTGCATTTGCGGGGCTATTGGAGGGGTTTAGGGGGTTTGAACCCCTGAAAAGTTCAAAACACACACACACACACACACACCTTTCAAAATTCCTGGATCCGACCATGACTGAGTTGACTGTAACTGTGTAACCCCACAGCAGGGGTGAAAATAACCCATTGCCCGACGTCCGAGTCCAGTGTTTTTTTTCTGTCGGGCAAGCAAATTTGTATATCACACTGTACCAGTGTCCAGTTGACTTTCCAATGTTAATTATGTTGTTTATTTAAAAATCAACAAGAAACGTCCGTTATAGTAGAAAAATTATCAGGGCAAGTGATTTTACATGTGCCACTGTACCGGAGTACACTAGCAATTTTAAAGTTATTTCCACCCCTGCACATACACACAAATGCACGCCGTCATATGAGCGAAATATTCTCAAGCACTGCATTAAACCCAATTTCACCTTACCTCAACTGCTTCAGTGGTAAAGTGGATAGAATGTCGGCCTGTAGAGTTAATGGATGGTGGTTCGATTCCTGTCTGCGTCAGGCCAAAAAATGTTTAAGATGGAACTTCTTGTTTCCAAGCCTGGTTCTTATTTGATGTAGTCTGGCAAAGCCCACAGTTGTTGATGAAGCCACAATTTTGGTGCCAAGTTGATTTTATCCGAGTCAGACATATCGGAGTGGTGGTGTAGCCTAGTCGCTCGTCACCCCGAAGGCCCGGGTTTGATTCCCCACATGGGTACAATGTGTGAAGCCCATTTCTGGTGTCCCCTGCCATGATATTGCTGGAATATTGCTAAAAGCGGCCTAAAATCCAACTCACTCACTCATTAGACATATCAACTTTTGAAAACCAGATTGTGAGCCTGTTTGTGATGGTTGGTTTGTGCACTGTCTTCTTGCTCATGGGTTTTGCCAGATTGACGTAACACTCTCCCTTCAAGTCTCCCCCCAAAATGAGCTGCCATGCCATGATAAAAAGTATTTTCAAATCATAATCAACCCAACCCATCTCATACAGTCTGTCCAAAAAATATCTTGAAGATGACTATTTGTTTCTGTATTTCTCTTAACTTCTGAGGGTGCTGGGTACCCCAGTCACCAATGGTGGTTCAGAGTACAGAGTCACATCTCTTGGACATACCAGAAATCTATGATTGTGGGTCAGTGGGACAAAATAGCTCTGAATTTGATAAGTTATGAATGGCCTGTAATCAGAGATCTTGAAATTGGAGTATTGATGTGATCAGTTCTTTGGTGACCTCCCTTAAGATGAGTAGATGTCAAGTGAAATTTTGTTCAATTTCAAGAAATTGATTAATAACTGAAACATTCTGAACATTTTCCACTATGACTGAGTCTTAATGATTTACTCAATACCTGTCATGTAATCATGGTAATGGTCACATCAGATATCTCTCTGTACATGTTGAATTTTATTCCGTCATAGTTTCATTCATGAAAAATGGCTGTATGATCATATTGGGATCTCCTACTTATGACAGCACCCAGGTTAGCATCAAATTCTGTAATTGGATGGCATTGACAGCTCTGTGAAGTACAAGCCTGTGCACACAGTATCTTGAATCTTTATGGTAGCTTGATGAAATTATTTATGCATGATATATGGACTGTTCATGGCTAAGAGTTAAGGTCACAATAATTCTGGAAGCTATTGTGACTGTTACTCGGGTATCCAGCAGACTTTCTGTATGACTGCTGAACTGCATATTGCATTGTAACCTGATTTGTTAAAGTCACCATGACTCAATGCATGTTTTAGGATGTGAGGATGAAATTTGAATATAATGCAAACACTTTTGTAGATGTTGGGACCCCTCCATGGAATAGAGCATCTCCCAGGACAGTGAAACGTTTTTTGTTTCGGCCATGACCACCTCCATTGTATGAGGGGCGGTGGGGTAGCCTAGTGGTTAAAGCGTTGGCTCGTCACGCCATAGACCCGGGTTCGAATCCCCGCATGGGTACAATGTGTGAACCCCATTTCTGCTCCCCGCCGTGATGTTGCTGGAATATTGCTAAAAGCGGCGTAAAACCAAACTCAGTCAGTCAGTTGAAGGGAAGTCCTGTGTACTATGAGTATGGTGTCCATGTTAAACTGTGGCATGGTATCTCAACACTATAGAACCTATACATTCTGGACTAATGCAAGCAGCCACACACATGCACAACTACTGTATAAGTGTAATATGTTTGAGCATACTTCTACCCCATTTCGCTTTGCTTTCTCCTGAAGGGTGATGAGGTAGCCTAGTGGATGAATCATTGTCTTGTCACGCCAAAGACCTGGGTTCGATTCCCAACATGGGTACAGTGTGTGAAGCCCTTTTATGGTGTGCTATTCCTGGAATATTGCTAAAAGCGCCGTAAATGTAAACTAAATTTCTTTCTCCTGTGGCGTATATGTCAGTTTTCTGGAGTGCTGCAGTAAGCCATGCGGAGTTACGTCCCTTTGGCATGCCAGAAACCTGTGGTCGTGGGATTGCAACCCAGTTTGTCCAGATCATGTTTCTGGCTTTGTCAACACCATATCTGAGCTGAAGGGTTTAACCTAGACTAGTCCCTAAATATATTAAATTTTGATAGTAACAAATAAACCCATTTAAATTGAAAAGGAGCCTCAGTGAGTTGGGAGAACCTGGGGAAATCCACTTGCTTCATTTAGGGCTTAAAGCATTGCAGGGGAGGCGAGGCAGTAGGGAAAATAATGTGGTTCAGGGACTGTGAGTGGTGAATGTTGTATCACTTTGCACCTCCAACTTTCAAGTGACAGGCCATGTTATAACTGTAATAGTGTTTGCAGCAGCCTTTAACACAAATCACTCTCTCACCTGCTCATTGTTAGGTTGACAAGACCAGCTTTCATTTAGAAGAAATTTCAATATGCAGTATACAGACATAACAGCTGATAACTTAAACCAAGAACTTTATCATTCTGAGGCTGCTAATATATCTTTGGGTCAGAATGTGCTGGAAGTCCTTAGTGTGCGTTTTGGACTCATATTGACCTGCACAGTGTGATGGTATTGATCAGCTGGCATCCATTAGCACTGAAATTTGATATCTCTTTGTAATTGCTGAACAAATGAAACTGGTTTCAATATTCTCTGCCTATCAATGGCTACAACAAGGCATAGTGTTTGTTTTATTTACTTCAAACTGGTTGTAGGAGGAGCTCATTTCAGTGAGAAAACATCCTTCATGCAAAGGTCATGTCTGATACCTATTGATATGTTTCCACTTTA